TTGCACTATTTCTGGCAGTCTGTAAAGGCCCTTAGACTGCTGCCACACTGCAGAATTAATGCAGTTTGATGCCATTTTAACTGTTGTGGCTCAATCTTATTGAATTCTGGGATTTTTAGTTTGTCATGGCACCAGATCTGTGACACAGAAGGCTAAAATATCTCACAGACCCCAAAATTCCATAGTATTGAGCCAAGGCAATTAAAGCAATGTCAAACTGCATTAATTCTGCAGTGTGGCAGCAGCCTGTGCATTTACATGACATTCTATGCAAGTGTATTAAAATGTTGTTGTTGTTGTTGTTATGTACCGTCAAGTAGTTTCCAAACTTATGGTGTCCCAAGGTGAACCTGTCACAGGATGTGTTTTTTTGGCAAGATTTCATAGAATCATAGAGTTGGAAGAGACCATCAGAAACATTCTCCCTCTGCCATGCAGGAATACACAATTTGTTCAGAGTGGGCTTGCCTTTGCCTTCCTGCAGAAATAATGCACTTTGACACAGCTTTAATTGCCATGGCTCCGTGCTACGGAGTTCTGGGATTTGTCATTTTGTGAGATATTTAGCCTTCTCTGACAGAGCTCTGATGCTACAACAAACTCCAAATCCAAGAATTCCATAGGATGGAGCCATGACCGTTAAAGCTGTGTCAAACTGCATTATTTCTGCAGTGCAGAGGCAGCCTGAGAGAGAGTGACTTGCCCATGGTTGCCCAGTGGGTTTCCCTGGTTCAGCAGGGATATGGACCCTGGTCTCTGGCGTCATAGTCCAATGCTCAAACCACTATACCACAGTGGCTCTCCAAAACATACTCAAGTGCAAAAGGCTCTCATGCAGGCAAAGCACAGCTCCAAAGCACAGTTCCATTCTGGGAGTTGTAATCCAAAACTAGTTTTCCCAAGCTCTGTTCCAGAGTGCCTGTAGACATGAGCGCACTCCAGGTGGCTCCTGACTATCTTGGAGAGTTGTGTCAACATATCTATTCAGAACTAAGCCCCAGTGAAAATGCTTTCATTGCAAAGCACAGTTCTGCTTTATTTGCATTGTAAAGACCCTTCCCTTTAAGTTTAGAAGTGGCTGTAACTGTGGGAGAGATCAAAGCAGGGTACTTAAAATGTTAATAGCTTTTCTCTTCTTATCTCCAATTGCTAATTGGGGACAAGTGTTCAGTTTCCTTGCAGAAAGGGAAAGGGAAAGGGAATGATCAGATAAACTTAGGGAGTTCTTTGCCCATAGTACTGGAGGGAAAATGGACTGGGCAGAAGTCTATGGGCTGAAAAGTCTTTGTTGTGTGCCTCCAAATCATTTTTGATTATGGAGACCCGTAGGCAAACCTTTCATAGGGTTTTCTTGGCAGGTTTCTTCAGAGTGGGTTTGCCATTGCCATTCTCTGAGGCTGAGAGAGTGTGGCTTGCCCAGTATCAACCAGTGGATTTGAACTCTGGTCTCCAGAGTTGTAGTCCAGCACTCCAACCACTACACCATGGTGGCTCTCACCTTGTGCATGTGAAAAGGCAAGTCCAACCACATTAAACACTACAAAAATGCCCTAAGTCTTCCTTTCTGTCAGAAGAAGGCAAACCATCATAACTGTTGCCTCTGAAACTTTTTCCTTCTCAGAGAATAGGGAAACCTGTAACAACACTCTGTATTGGATTGGAGGATCTTGGGCCCTCCAAGTTCTTTTGGGATACCTCTACACTGTAGAAATAATGCAGTTTGACACCACTTTAAGTGCTGTATCTTCCCCCTATGGAATCCTGGGATTTGTTGTATTACAAGGTCTATTGCTTTCTCTGCCAAAGAGTGCTGGTGCCACACAAACTACAAATCCTAGGTTTCTGTAGGATGGAGCCATGGCAGTTAAAGCGGGGTCAAACTGCATTATTTCTACAGTGTAGATGCATCTTTGGACTATAGCCCCAACAGTCTTGTACCATTGGCTGTGCTAGCTGGTGCTTGAGTTGGTCCAAAATATTTGAAAGGCTAAAAGGAACCCTATCCCTGCTGTATATAGAAATCTACAGATCCCGAATCCTTGTAGGGCTTTCCTTGCAGAGGTAATGCAGATAACATATCCAGGTTTAACTTTTCCATGCACAAGCTCTCTTGAAGCCATTTCAAAACATCATTCGTTCATTGCCTGGATAGAATCTCTTTTTACAAAATTTCAGAGGTCCTTGACATTTTTCTCCCTTTGAAGGAGGATATCAGCTTTCCGAAGGGAACATTGTGCCTTGGCTGGTGACAGACATTTTTTACATGGAACATTTGCATAGGAACAATGGAACCACTTTTCCAAGATATTACCCAGAAGTTCAAGGACACCGGATCTTACTGAGTTTCACATTTTGCAGACAATGGTTCATTATAGCCTCAAAGCCGGTCCGGTGGAAGCTGTCGGGGCTGAAACAGTGGGAGGGATCGATGCAGCCACTTCATCAGGAGTCTTAAGAAAAGAACCTGACATATGCAGACACCACATGTAGGTCATAGAATAGGCAATGGCACCACTGCTGGGTGTGTGTGTGTGTGTGCGTGCGTGCATGTGTGTGTGTATAAGAGAGAGAGATTCAGATGGATGGATGGATGAAGGAAAGAATGGAAATCACAGCAAACGTCCTCAAATGGATGCATCTAGGCAAAATGGAAACCACCTGAGCTTCTAAGATGGGCAGATATAAAAGAGAATAGGCTTTCGGAGCATTTTTTAAAAAATTGGAGTTTTGGCAGCTGCTGCTTTTCTCGCTCATGCAACACTGAGACATGATAGATTCTAGCCAGGACAAGCTCAAGACATTTTTTTCTACCAAAGATGGTGTGCTGTCCCATTCTGGATACAAAAGTCAAATGGCAGGAACCATAACAAAACAAAGGAGTTTATCACACAAAGGCAAATTGCTTAAATCCCATGCAGAAACAGGATTTAAAAATCCGAAACCCCTCCGCAAAAGTGGGTTGTTTTTCAGACGTATTTGTGTAAAGGAGAAATAACGTGACATTAACCCAAAAGGAAAGTCACCAAAACCCTCTCCTTTTTACTTTCAGAAGTTCCCAAAAGTAAAAAGGAGCGGGTTTTGGCGACTTTCCATTTGGATTAATGTTGCGTTATTTCTCCTTGATGCTAATGTCATGTGAAAAACAACCCGATTTGCGGGTTATTTCTACTTTCTGTTCGGGATAACCCAGAACATTGTGTGAAAAACAACCCGCTTTTGCAGGTTGTTTTCACTTTAAATCCAGTTTCTGCGCGGGATCTGTCCCATGTGATAAACTCCAAAGGAACCTGCCAGACTGCAAGGATCAGCAATATATCCGTGTTGACAGAATGATTCTGGGAGTTGTAGTCCAAAGGAATAATGCATCCAAGAGCAGTTAATATTCTGTGTATTGACCGACCGGCTCTACGCAAGGACATAATTTGCTGCTGGAGTTCATCTTTCTCAGGATTTTAATTTTGTTTAAAGCAATTCTTCCCCTCCCCCAAACTTTTATGCAAATAAAAGCCAGTCATTTGAAGTCTGGATTTCTGAAGCAGAATATTTGCAAATGAAGCAAACGGGAGTTAGTCTAAAGAACGCACATAAAGAAAGCATGGCTGTCTGTCAGGGGTACTTTAATTGTGTATTCCTGCATGGCAGGGGGTTGGACTGGATGGCCTTTGTGGTCTCTTACAACTCTATGATTCTAAGAGCTAAGGAAGAGCCCTGGTAGATTAGGCTAAAATTCTGTTTAGCCAGTTTCTCTGTTTCCCTCCGTAGACATCTAGATGTCTAAGAAGCCCACATAGGACAGGAGAGTAACAGCCCCTTCTTATACTGTTGTTCCATAGCAAATGATATTCAGAGCCTGCCATATACTGCCATATACATATACAGGTGTCATGAATAGCTGACATCCATTCATGTATCACCTTATCCTCCATGAACATGTCTGATCCTCCTTTAAAGTAGCCTTAAATTGATGTCTGTCACTACATCCTCCTGAGGCAGCAAGTAATAGCATGCTGTTTGAAGAAATATCTCCTTTTGCGCATCCTAAACCTCCTACCATTCAGCTTGAGCTCCTTGAAGGACTTGGTGTTGTGACCAGCATGATGTAGTGGTTTGAGCCTTGGATTATGACTTTGGAGACCAGGGTTCAAGTTCCCCCTTGAGCATTAAAACCAACTGGTTGACCTTAGGCAAGTCACAATCTCCGGGCTTCAGAGGATGGCAATGGCAAATCCCCTCTGAAGAAACTTGCCAAGAAAAACCTAGGGTCACCATAAGTCAAAAATGACTTTGAGGTACACAGCAACAACAACAACACAATCTCCTACCACTCAGCTTTAAGCTCCTTGGTGTTGCCCACAAGCCTAGCTGACCCATTATTCACAAGTATTATTATATATTATATTATATTATATTATATTATATTATATTATATTATATTATATTATATTATATTATATTATATTATTATATTGATTAAGCACCAGCACCACATTCAAAAGTGTCCCTTGGCATTTAAACAGGTTAGATGGGTACTGAAATTCCTGAAGAGAGCATTCTGAAGACTAGTTTGTTGAATGTCCAACATCATTGAATTTCCTTCCTGTGAATATATTTACCTTTGCACTTGCTTATATTTGTGTAGAGAAAGTTCCCAGTGGAGTAAAAGTGCATGTGTGCCCAGTTCTACACATGTACTACACTTCTCATAGAGAGGAAATGCTTGTGGAAATGCCTGTGGAAATGCTTGTGGTTCACTGAAGCAAATGTGCTTGTGGTCCTGAGCCAAAATGACAAAAAAGTTTGTGGTGCCTTAATGTCTAACAGATTTGTTGTGGCATAGGGTTTCATCAGATAAAAATTGACTCTTCCATGATATCATATACTAAAAATCTGTTCATTTACAATGTGCCATAGAACAATTTTGTTGCTCTATACAGTTACCTTTCTAAGGCTGCATCTTCACTGCAGAAATAATCCAGCTTGACACCACTTTAACTGCCATGGCTCAATGCTATGGTCTACTAGGATTTGTAGTTTGTACTGGCACCAGAGCGATCTGACAGGCTAAATGTCTTACAAAACTGAAGTTGCCAGAATCCCATTGCATTGAGCCATGGCAGTTAAAGTTATATCAAATTGGATTACTTCTGCAGTACCGATGCAGCCTATTTTTTATAGGTTTTTGTGGGGTTTTTGGGCTGTGACGCTGTGTTCTAGAAGAATGTATTCCTGACATTTTGCCTGCATCTGTGGCTGGCATCTTCAGAGAATGGTGGCATGGAGGTGTCTGGGGTATATATACTGTGTGCCTCTTGATTGAGAGGATAAGCATCTGTCTGTGTATTGTTCTGTTGAATGGCAAGGCCTCAGGGTGGGAGGATATGCAAGGAGAATGAGTGTCTATTTAATTAATGGTCCATTGTCTGCTGGGAATTAGCATGTAAATTAGCATGTAAATCTGTGTATTGTTCTGTTGAGGCAAGGCCTCAGGGTGAGAGGATATGCAAGGGGATTAGTGTCTATTAATGTGCATTGTCTGCTGGGAATTAGCATGTAAATTAGCATGTAAATCTGTGTATTGTTCTGTTGAGGCATGGCCTCAGGGTGGGAGGATATGCGAGAAGCATTAATGTCTATTTACTTAATGGCCCATTGTCTTCTGGGAAACCCCTGACCCTGGCTGAAGTTTGTTTGCATTTACTGAGTCCTGATCTTGATGTTTTTGAGGACTGGTAGCCAAACTTTTTGTTTACTTTCAAGGTTTCTTCTTTCCTGTTGAAATAGTCCAGGTGTTTGTGGATT